ACAGCCCAGGGTAGGCTAGAGGGGTGCCTGCCTCCCTCTTATTTTCCCACCCCTTCCCTTCCCCTCCTGGGAGACTGGCTTCACCTTGACCTAGAGTCTTGGCCTCTTGCTTGCTTGTGAACAATGGTCCCAGCTGGTCCCAGAATCAGTCGCTGTTGGAGCCTGCATGGACCCTATGTTTGCTCTTTGTGACATTTCCAATTTTAGATAATGCCTCACATCTCCGTCCCCCCGGGACCTCCCGCAGCCCCCATGATCCGGAAGAAAACAACTTGAATCCAGGTGAGTCTGTCTGTACCATTGGAAGGGAGGTTCTTCAGACTTCTGAAATGAAGTAGACCTGAGTGAGGGTTCTTAAGGGTAGGGATTGAGAGTTGGTGGCAGAATTTGTTTGCAGAGGGATGGAGGAGAGTGAAACCTAGACTGGACGTGGCAGATAATAGTGTTGCTGGTGTTTTCTATTTCATTCCTTGCATGATAGCCCACCTGTGCTCCCCTCTTCACTCTGAGACTTTGTTCTGTGCCTTCCTTCCCCCTTCACCCCTCACCCCACCTTCCTCCCTATCATGACCCTCTGTTGCTTTGCCCTCTTCCTGCCTGCCCCAAGAGCTCTCCTTTTTCCCTCCACAGATTTCAACCCAGGATGTTGCGGAGGCTGCTGGAGCGACCCTGCACGCTGGCCCTGCTCGTGGGCTCCCAGCTGGCCGTCATGATGTACCTGTCACTGGGGGGCTTCCGAAGCCTCAGCGCTCTGTTTGGCCGAGAGCAGGGGCCAACGTTTGACTACTCTCATCCCCATGATGTCTATAGTAACCTCAGTCACCTGCCTGGGGCCCCTCCAGCTCCTCACGGCCTGCCCTACTGTCCAGAACGCTCTCCTCTCTTGGGTGAGTATAGAAAAAAGAAGGTGAAGGCTAGGCTGAGGAGTGGATAGGAAGATTGGCCAGGCACTGGGTGGCAGGACTTGGGCAGGGATTAATGTCATCAGATGTGGGCTGAGCCTGAGAGAGTAGACTTTGTGTTTGGAGGACAGATTGGGCCCCCACGTTCCACTAACTTTGACTTATGGGTTCTTCCTGCCTTGGGCTCGGAATTGCTTCCTTTGTAGATAAGCCCTCATTTAGTTAGATGGTATTTTCTTCTGATTTCTTTGTCCCCTAACTGTAGCTTCCAACCCTTTGAGGCAGGAGAGTTATGAACCCCTAAAATAAGATGGTAGCTAGGTAAGGACCCTGTACGATCCAGACTTGAGCTCCTAATATGGGGAGCTCAAAATTTCTGAGTAGGTCCTAGTGGGAGCTGAGCCCCAAACCAGATGGGATCAGAGATGTCCCCTGTGGGTCCTTCTTTTCTCCTTGCCCCTCCAATCCCTGACCCTGCCGTTCCCTCCCAACAGTGGGTCCCGTGTCCGTGTCCTTTAGCCCAGTGCCATCCCTGGCGGAAATCGTGGAGAGGAACCCCCGGGTGGAACCGGGGGGTCGATATCACCCCCCAGACTGTGAGCCCCGCTCCCGTACAGCCATCATTGTGCCCCACCGTGCCCGGGAGCACCACCTACGCCTGCTGCTCTATCACCTGCACCCCTTCCTGCAGCGCCAGCAGCTCGCTTATGGCATCTATGTCATCCACCAGGTACCTGATCCTACTCTAACTGACTTTCTTATAAGGAAACCTCAGTAATGCCCCCTTGTAGGTCCCTGGAACAATTTTAGTAGGGTCAGACTAGTAACTGAAGGACGCCCTTGGCACTTTTCTGCCAACACATTAGCCCTGGGCTTCCTCGAATTCTGTTTAGGGTGTCGCCACTGCTTTCTACTCTTCATGATTTTTCCTTGGTTGAGTAGCTTGTGCAAATTTGGAATTAGGCAGATTTAGGCTAAAATTCTTATTCTGCCATTTGTTACATATGTGACCTTGAACAAGATATTTAACTCTCTAAAATGAAGCTAAGAGCAATTACTAACCTGCAACCCACTTCACATGCTAGCTGGTGTCACCATTAAATGCCCAATCGCAGCATGTCAGTATCAGACACAGACTGGTGCTCAAAAAAATTGCTAAGTAAAAAAGTAAGATTATTTTCCTCCTTACCCCACATCAACTTTATACTCCTTTCACTTTACGTTTCAGCCTCTCTTCTCCGTGCTACCTACAGACATAATCAGCTTCTCATTGTCTTCCAGGCTGGGAATGGAACCTTTAACAGGGCAAAGCTGCTGAATGTGGGAGTGCGGGAGGCCCTCCGTGATGAAGAGTGGGACTGTCTGTTCTTGCATGATGTGGACCTCCTGCCAGAGAATGACCACAATCTCTATGTGTGTGATCCCCGTGGGCCCCGGCATGTTGCTGTTGCCATGAACAAGTTTGGATACAGGTAGAGGCGGGGGAGGGTGCTGGGAAGGAGGCAAGCACCTTCCTGGGTAGGGATGTCTCCCAGAAGCTTTGTGGATTCCAAAGATCTCTCCCTCCCCAGCCTCCCGTACCCCCAGTACTTTGGAGGGGTCTCGGCCCTCACTCCTGACCAGTACCTGAAGATGAACGGCTTCCCCAATGAATACTGGGGCTGGGGCGGTGAGGATGACGACATTGCTACCAGGTCAGATTTCCTGTTACCACCTTCCTTGCTCGCCCAGCCTGAATCTCTGTCCTCTGCGGCCATCCGGGCCACGGCCCTGACCACAAGTACCCTTAGCCCTCTGCCCATCCCTCTCCCTTTGCCTTTCCGTCTATCCAGGTTAGGTTCTGCATGCTTCTCCTCTTTTTTCTCTTCCTCCACCTCCTTTTTAAAAAGATTTATTTATGCATACAAGAACTGGGGTACAGGCCATAGGTGCAGGGGCTGAGAGAATTCACCAGAGATAGAGTGGGGAGCTGAACAGGCAGACTGACTGAAACACACTGCTGAGGGGAGCAGCGGGTGAGACAGAAGAGGTCTGCCGTGCCATGTGGGTCAGCTCCCTGACTGAAGATTGAACTCATGCTGCAGTGACTGCAGATGGTTTCCTAGTGGCACTACCACGAGGCCCTGTCCCTTCCCTTTTGATCTGGATGGTTTTATTTCTGGGGAAAAAAATAAACAGAATGTAATTTGGGATTCCAGAATTGGAAAGGGACAAGAGTTTCACCCCACCTTCTGCTAGGGTTGCCACTAGACCCCTTCCTGTGGGGTTGGGGGAGAAGGGGTCTTGGCCCTAGTGCTCAGAATCACTTTTTTATTTAAAGCCTCTGCCATTGGTATGATGCCAATTTGCTTTTTATCATGTGAAATATTTTGACCTTCAGCCTTAGCTGACCCAGTTTCCTGTCTGAATATTTGGGCTTGCTGTGCTGAAGCCACTGTTCCCTCCCCTTGGTGACCTCTTGTGTGACATCTTTGTGAGTTACTGTCTCTAAATTTACAGCACCCAGCAGTTTCTCAACATACACGCTTTCAGTATCTTCCCAGATCATCTCCATTCTGTGTCAGGGGGGGGTTTCTTTCTTTCCAGGTCCGGATGATCTGGTTCCACGTATCTAACATTGGGGGTCCAGGGAAGAGGAGTCAAGTGGCTCAGCCACCTCTCTCCACAAGGATTGCTGAGCTTGGCCTGCGCTCCGGCTTGTTCCTGACTAGATGGTGTCGTTACCCACACTTTCCAGACTGCAGGACAGTGCCTGTGGCCATTCAGGGAACAAATATGGGAGGTGCAATTATGTTAAGCTCCAGCAGGGGCAGCTCCAGGCAGGTGGATTTGGAGACATCCAGCTTTTACACTTCCTGCTTTCCCTTTGACTTGGCACTTCAGAAGGCCCCACTACTTAATGGTGGTTCTTTGCTCATACATGCAAGCAGATCTGACTGGCCTTAGTGCTTTTCTTTCCCTGGGGGCAACCTTCCTCCACTGTGCATCCTCCAAGGTGCCCTCTCTTTTCTCATAGGGTGCGCCTAGCTGGGATGAAGATCTCTCGACCCCCTACATCTGTGGGTCACTACAAAATGGTGAAACACCGAGGAGATAAGGGCAATGAGGAAAACCCCCACAGGTAGGAAGGGAATTGTTCTTACCTCCTCAAGGTCTGTACCCCAGTTGGGAAATGCCACCAGGTCTCTGGACTCCTGGCTGTTCCTTCCTGGTTCTTAGTCTTCAACCTCTGACCTGCAGATTTGACCTCTTGGTCCGTACCCAGAATTCTTGGACTCAAGATGGGATGAACTCACTGACATACCGTCTGCTGGCTCGAGAACTGGGCCAACTCTATACCAACATCACAGCAGACATTGGCACCGACCCTCGGGGTCCTAGGACTCCTGGTCCCCATTACCCACCTGGTTCCTCCCAGGCCTTCCGTCAAGAGATGCTGCATCGCCGGCCCCCTGCCAGGCCTGGCCCTCTGCCTACTGCCAACCACACAGCCCCCCATGGCTCACACTGACTCCATCCTGCCCACTATAATCATGAAACTGAATCAGAGGAGTTGTTCTCTCCCCACCTTCGGCTCTTCTCTGCTCTTAGAGAGGTGCTGTGCAGGGGGCAGAGACCTCTCTTCACTGCTGGACTGGAGCTGGGCTCCTCTAGACCTGGGAGTCCCTCTTTCTAGGGTCACCCAAGGGTTATGACTGTGAATCCTTGATGTCATGATTTTATGTGAGGACTCCTGGGAGTCCCCTGCCCCTAGGGTAGGAGCAGGGCTGGATCCTGAGTCCCTTCCTCTTCCATGGAGAGAAGAGAAACTGGCTTCTCCCGGGACCTCTGTGAATATTTATTCTATTTATGGTTCCTAGGAAGTGTGTTTGGTGAAGGAAACGCCTCCCTGGGTCCTCTGCCAGTGCTGGAGTAGTTCCTTCTTCTGGACCTGGCTCAGGGGGCTGGGATTTTGATATATTTTCTAATAAAGGACTATGTCTTGCCTCTGCTACTGCTTTCTGCATTCTGGGCACCCTTTGCCTGTGTTCGCCCCCCCCCCCCCCCCCATGCCCCCATGCACACAGGTGACAAAGACCAGCCAGACCAAGCCAAGCTCCAGTCATGTTTATTTTCCAGGGCACGAGAATCCCTGCCAGCAAGGGCAGGAAGAGGTAGGAGTTGGGGATCAACAGTTAGGCTCTGTGCCCAGGGCCCGGACTGCTGCCTGGCGCCCACTCTCTATACAGTCATTGACTGCAACCCCCTCATAGGAGGCCCCAGCCAGAGTCAGGGGCAGTCTCTGAGCAGCCAGGAATTGGGTCGCTGACTCTGGAAGGAAAGGACAAAGGCATGTTGTAGCTGGGGGGTGTGATTTCTTATCCCATAGCCCAATTGCTTTCCTACCTTACCCAGTTTTTGCCAGTGGCCAAGTGTATATTGGGGGATGCAGTTCTGTGGAGAAGAGATAAGGGGGAAGTTTATTATTGATGCCCCATGCCTTGGAGGACAGATAACGACAAGTATGCCAGTCCTGATTTGCACAGGCAACCGAAGGGAGCTCCCCTACTCACTTTGTGCAGATGGACCAAGCAGTGACTCGGTTCCTTCAGTCCTAGTTGTGTGGCAGCTGCTTTCTGTGCCTGCTGTTGGAACAGCTCCTGAGATAAGACAGAGCCCCTGGTTTCTAGGGACTGTAGCCAAGAACCTCCAAGCATCACCTAGGGGAAGACAGCACTAACCAGTCTCTGCTGAGGCAAAGACAGCCCTTGAGGAGTCCCCACCAAGCAAAGGTGCCTCTTCTCACAGTTACTCTGAGGCCAGGGGGGCTCCCATCCTGCTCAGGGAAAGCAACTGAGTCATACACAATTCCCAGGACACCTGGATCTTCCGAGGATGGCACCAGATGTCCAAATCCCTAGAGAAAAGGAAGCATCTGAGTTAGGGAGAGAAGGTTCTAACAAAACCCACACCTCCCCTTCCTGGGTCACACCTGAACAGGCAGACGAGCTCCTCGGTATTGCAAATTCACCACAGCCACAGACACAGCAGTGATAGTACTCAGGGCCTGAGCCAGAGGTGCAGCCTCAGCAGGGAGCAGCTTGCTGAGCACTGGGGGAGAGAGCAGGGCCTGCTTCATGAGTATTCACACATAAATCTATCACACTCCCAGGATTAAACTCAGGGGTGTGGTGTGGAAACTTGTTTCCCTCACCCTGGTTGGGGGGCAGGAGGGAGCTATCCCATACCTGAGGCTGGAAGGGCACTGATAACATGGTCGGCCTCCAGGCTGCTGCTCTCTAGAGACACCTAAGCATGAAATATTTGAGAGACACATATCACAGAAATTTTGGCTGTTTCCCAAGCACTCACAGGGCAGGAAAGACCAGGTGCTGACCCAGGAGGAAGAGGTAGAGTGACTACAATTGGCAAGAAATTTGCCTCCTATTATTCCAGGAAATAGAGAGGCCAGGGTAGCTGCCCTCAAATGTTTAGGAAAGGTGGGTTGTTCCTTCCCATCTCTGAACCACTTTATAAGCACTATTCACTACAGACTTGGATCAAATAGGCCTTGGAGGAAAGCCCACAAATGTGGCCTAAGAACCTGGGGGTAGACCCTAGTTAAATAGCTTCTAGGGCCGGAAAACAATAAACAATTCCAGCTTTGCCAGGTCTGACCTGGTTAAAACATTTAGACAAAGATGAAAACTTAACACTTAATTCAGTACATTCTGGGAGCTCTCCTACCTTCCAGCGCCCTCCTGCCTGGAGTCTAAGCCCACAGACTGGCTGGCCTCTGAGAACACTGACCCCCCTACTAGTGAGGTAGGTGTCAAGAGCTTGAGGCAATGTCTCCAGGCCTCCTCGGAGTGACCACTGGCTCCAGCGTTCAGCTCGGGCCTGGCGAATGAGTGCTGAGTCTGGCTGTGGGTGCCCGCCTGCAGAGGAAACAGTGAAGAGTCATTAAAATAGAAACCAGGCCTGCAGTCCCTAATCTCTTCACCCCTTGAACCAGTCCCCCCTCACCTGCCCCCAGCAGCAGCCCCAGTAATATGGAACGGTGGGTCTGCTCAGCCTGGAAGAGACTGGGAAAGCAGGACCTGATGCTGAGCTCCTGGCTGTTGCCTGCAAACACTCCACGGCAGAGACTGTCCATGGCTAGAGACGCCACCTTAAGGGTGAGACTGGGACTGAGAGGCCAAGGAAATCACTGGCCTAATTCCACTGCCCGGCTAGGTAGGGAGAAGGAAGCCGTGGGGGAGCAGTCCCACTGTGGCAAGGATGGCAAGGAAGCGAAGGCCTCATCCCCAACACAACTGTAGACACTACTGGGAGGAAGAAAATATATAGGAGAGACCCTGCAGGGCGAGGAGATGGGGGTCGTTTGGCCGCCTGCTCTCCACAGGGGGAAGCTGGGAGGCAGGGCTCTGTGGCTGGTTTAGGAGGGGGATGGGGTTTGGGGCTGCTGGGCAGGGTCACCTCGGGTCCAAGGCGGCGCTCGGCAAAACTGTGGACGGTCTCATCAGGGCCTTTGCCTCGTGGGGTGGTCAGTTCCCTCAGACCAGCCCAAAACAGAGGTTTGGAAAAGGGGGGTGAAGGGCGGAGAAGACCCCTGCACAGAGGAGGACACAGAGAGATGACGCTGCCAGTTCCAGGAGAGTCTCACATCCAATCCTGACAGGGAGGTGAGGGAAGGAAAGGCCTCAAGGTAAGGAGGTGGCAGCGTTACCTGAGGCCAGAGGGCAGGGCGTGCAGGGCGCCGCCCACGTACAGGAACCTGTTGCGGGCAGCTGGGTGGTCTCCCCGGACCGGCAGCACTTCGGAATCCAGGCCGAGCTCAGACACCTGCTCTCCGCAAGGCCGCGGGCAAAGACAGGGTCAAGAGGGAGGGGTGTTCCTCCGCCATCATTCCGACCGTGCCCCCTTCCATAGCGATCCCTACCCAGCCCTGGGCGCTCCGCGGCCGCGTACCAAAAGCAGGGTCCGGGCTCCCAGGGCTCCCGCGGGCCGGATTCCTCGAGGTCCAAGTTCAAAGATAGCTCCACCCGGCCCTCGGACGGACCGGATCCAGCCTCCCAGACGCTCGCTGCCCTCCACCAGGACCACCTGGGGGCCAGGGGCACATTGCAACCAGACTCGGGGTGCACGGGGTGAGAAACGCAGAGCGGTTCAAAGGCGCTGCCGGGTCGGCGGGGCTCACCTTCGGGGGACGCGACGCCCGGCTCAGGTGGTAGCTGGCAGCCAAGCCGCTGATGCCTCCGCCCAGCACAACCACAGTTCGGCCCATGAGGCAGTCTGCGGAGGGGTGCGATGCCGGCAGGACGTTCCCCTCAAGTCCACTGGTCCGGTCCCGCCCCGCGCTTACTGCTTCTGAGAGGCAGGGAGGTCTGCGTGGTCGGGGCTCACCCAGCGGAAGAGAGCAGGAGGGGGGACTCCAGACCTCAACTCTCGCTGTGGGTGCGGAGGCAGATAAGGGAGCCGCCCTCGCTATCCGCAGGCTCAGCTAGGGGTGCGGCAGCAGCTGGGCTGGGGAACTCCAAGGGATCCCACCTTGCACGAGGACCGGCCGGCCCCTCCGCCCCCACCATTTTTGGTTCCTCCGACTCGCCGTCTCTCCCTTCCCGGGGCACGCCCAGGCCCCGCCTCTCCTGCGTCCGGATTGGTGAGTCCGGGAAGGCCCCGGATCACACTCGCCAATGAGAGCCCCCAGCTGGCCGGGTTCCCAGAGGAGCGTGGCTGCTGGGGGCGGCGAGGAGTTAACTGGCTCCCGGCCGGAGGGAAGCTTCTGGGCCGGGCGGCGCGAGCCTGAGCTCCGCGTCTGCGCTCCCCAGGTCGCGCGTGCCGGGCCCGCTCGGGGATGGCCCCACGAGGGAGAGCAAGCAGGGACAGAAGAGGTCGGCCCGTGGGGAGGCGGCTCCATAAACAGCACCCTGATGATAGCAACAGCCGGGGCCTGCGGGAACTCGGGCCGCCGGGCAACGCACCCGTGTTTGTCAACAGGGGTCCTGCGCCCCCCCCAAAGGGCAGCCCCGAGCCCGCCCCCAGGGCCTGCCCAACATTTCTGGGTCTCCTGCAGCCTGCGGGTCAGTGTCCCGACGTAAATAACTCTCGCCGTTTGGGCTAACGATGGCACCGGCACGTCGGGCCTGGACTGCCAAGCTCCACAACCGTACCCCCCCCCCACACACACACCGAATCTGAGGGCGCCTCTTATCTGCCCAAAGAGGTGACAGGGCCCAGAACACTTGTCTGGCCAGTGCTGTCCATCTGCCCCCCAAGCACAAATAAAAATACGTGACTTTTTCTTAATAAATTTATTTCACAAAAAGTGAGATTGAGAGGGTTTGGGGGCTATACATGGGCAGGGCCTGGGTTACTCTGTACATGGGCTGGGAGACAAGAGAGCCTCCAGGTGGAAGGGGGTACTTTTCAATAAAAAAAATAATGGAGCTACAACCACCCCCTCCCCCCTCCCCGATTAAAAAGACACAAAAATAGACGTCTCTGAGGTAAACGGGGAGCCTGGGCCTTAAGGGTGTTGCAAGGGTTTCACAGGTGCCAGGGCTTAAAGGGGGAGTCACAGGCACCGGGGTGGCTCCTGCATCAGTTGGTAGAACAGCACGTAGCCCTCACTGGATGCCACCTGGTTTTCACTGACAGGGGAGACACTAGAAAGAAGAGATGGGGAAAGTGTTGTGATCACTGCTGTATATTCCCTCCTTCCCTCTCAGCATCCAAGGAGAGACTAGAATGGAACCACTTTCACCAGGTACTCAGCCCCCTGGGGCCTCCTGCTAGGGAAAGGGGTCAGGACTGCAGTGGGATTGGGGCAGGGGCTGAGCAGGAGGCTGTTCTCACCGAGAGTCGTTGTAGACATGCCAGCCAGTCTGGCACCGGCACAGAGCTGTGTAGTGGCCATAGTGGACGCTGCCCGAGTGGTTGCAGAGAGCATACAGCTGATAGATTGGGCTTCCTGCAAGGTAAGGCTGGATCAAATTCTACACCTTGAGTTCTGCCCCCACCTACATTCCCTCCCTGGCCAGTGGCTCCTTAAGACCTTCCTGACCAGACTCACCTGCTTTGTCGCTGGCAAAGTCCCCTAGGCTCAGTCGCTGCAGTGGGAAGTCTACACCTACGGAACTTTTCTTGATGGAGCCTCGGGAGGCAGAAAATCGATTAAGATCTAAGCACTCGTTAAGGAGCACTTGGAAGGCAGAGGGCCTTTTAGGGGGACTGAGGTCTTGAATGTTGTCCACTCCCCTTCACTAACACACACTGGGAACACAGTGGGGCAAGTGGGGATAGCAGGCTTTTCTAAAGTAGGAATGCCCAAGTGCCCAGCCTTTGAAAACACAGAGAATGACAAGGACAGGGGAAAAAAGAATGTGGAGATTAGGATACGGAGCACGAGGATTCGAGGGAATCTTTGTACTGTCAGCTTTTTGGTACTTCGTGTTTTCTGCCGACACCGGTCACACACCTGGATAAAGGTCAAATATGTCAGGTTCATAAACTCCCCACCTCAGTTAGCTTTTCCCACAGCCTAACTCACATACACATTTACTGTGCTCCCCATTACATGTGTCTTCTGGGCCACTCCCCGCTGTCCTAAGGGTACAGGCACGTATCAGACACCAACACAAACCCAGACATACAAATATTGTTCCCCAGATTGAGCAATAGCTGAGCATCATGCAGCCCCTTTTACCTATGTGGAGTCCTCCCCTATCTCCCACCCTATGAACCCCCACATACTGGGGCATTCTCCGATTCTAGCTCCTCTTCCTTGGTGAAAAGGCTGAAACAATCCCGCAGAGACACCTTGCCCCCAGCAAATCCTTTCTGGGGGGGAAAGGAGAATGAAGGGTCAGCAGGTTCTGAATTTCCTTTTCCAACTCTTCTCAACCAATTCAGGCTTCAGTTCTGCTCCAGACACACACACAGGGTTCCCTCCCACACTCTGGGGGTGGGTAGAGTTGGGTCACAGACCCCATGTCCCATCCACCCCTGGAATCCTCTGGAATCCCCACCTTGGGGATGGGCAGGGACAGGTCACAAAAAACCTCGAAGGTCGTGGAGCGATACCCACAGGCCTGGCACTTGAGGCAACTTTTCAACTGGCCCACAAACAGGTCTAGACAGAAGCAAAGAGGCGAGAGACATGGTCATTTTGGGATCCTGGGAAACTTCTTTGGTTCCCACCCCTTTGCCTAACTTCTTTTCCCACCACCACCATTCCTAGCAACCCATTCACACCAGGTCCACATTTTCATCATTCGGTTTTAAGCACACACCCTGTAAGTGTATTCATTCTTCCTCCAAGCCTGCACCTCCCAAGCTCTGCCCCATTCCACGTTCCATACCCACAATCTTGCTGTCCTCTCGCTCCAGGTAACGCTTCCACATTAGGTTGGCTCGGTCATCATCACTACCGCAGATAAAGGGAAGTGGGGAGCACCCATGAGATAGCAGAACTGGGCAGCCCCCACACTGACATGGTCCCCAAAGATCTGTACCCACCCTTGCCCCAGCTCCTCTACACGTCAAGGGAAAGTCCTTCAGAGGACTTCCTTCCTGGGAATAATTCCATGATAAGAAAAGGAGTGAAGACAAAGGAGCAGGCTGTCTTTCCCCACTGGCTGAAATCTGTTATGTACCTTTTTGTAAATTCATGATCCCCTCCTCCCTCAATATGGTAACACTACACTCTCTCTCCATCTGCACCCGGGCCTCCCTCCTCCTCCTTCCTTCCTTGCTTCTGTACTGCTTCTCAAGTCACTTGCTAGCCAAAGTGTTTCCTTGGACCCTACATCCTCGATCTTGCCTAGCTCAGTTCTGTGCAGGATGAATGTTGCTTGCTGATAAACTAGAAGAGGGAGGAGAAGCAACCCTACCTTAATTCAGGTTCCTCTAGCAGAGCCCCTCCTCGACGGGGTGGAGAGGGAGCTGGGTTGCTGGCCAGGATTGGTGGAGCCCTGCGGCCTCGTCGGTTGATCTCAAGGTGTAGCCGCTCCATGAGGAGCTTCAGGAATTCTTGGGCATCCTGCTGGCTACAGCCAGACAGAGTGTGGGCGACTGAACCCACCCAATCCACAGACACTATCCCCTGCCCAGATAATAGTCTCGCTTTTTGCAGAACATCAAGGGCTCAGAACAATGTTGCCAGGTCCCTGCTTGGCCCCAGCCCCAGACAAGGTCAGAGAGAACACCCACACCCTCCGGCTCTCCCACCTGTATCCAGAGAAGGAGGGTACGTATTTCTGGAAGACAGCTCGGAATCGAGTAGGATTCACAGCTTCGCAGGAGTCAGGGTGCCACAGGGCACCAATCACATCTGCAAAGGCTATTGGAGTGGGAGTGGGGAAGGGAGACAAAGGTTAGTCACTGTAGGACGCCCATTGGGTGGAAACCACCTCAAGGAAAGCAGGCACTGGGAAATACAAATACAATGGGTTGGTTTAAGGGTTGGGGCCACCAACACTGGTACATGAACCTGCAAGGAGTCAGTAAGAGGACTGTGAGGAGGGAGCAGAAGTGGTCATCCTACCTTCAGTGAGCTCTTGGGCTCGGCCCCCGCCAGGCACCTCTTGCCGGAAGTCCCGCCGCAGACAGAAGTCCCGAAGAGGCCGGGTGCTGCTCAGACACTGTAGCACAGCGTTCAGGAAGCACTGGGAAGCAGTAGACATGGCTATTATTTCTCCACCCCAGTGGCCAGACAGCCTTAGGAGTTTCAGCACACTCCTTCCCCAAGTCAGCAGCCACCCCCTCCCTGCTCCCAGCATCATTTCACATCCCTTTAGAGAGGACCAGCAGGAGAATGGCTCTCACCGTGTTTCCCAGGTTTCGGAGGCCAACATGACCAGAGCCCAGGAGAAGGGTGTGATGAGCCTGGGAGGTCAGAGAGTAGTCAGAAGGCTCCCACATACCCCACCTGACACTTCTACCTTTCAACAGCATGGCCCCTCTTCCACCCCATACTTTACCCCTTAAAACTCAACCCACATTCCCTCACTGGGTAGCGGGATCTCCCTACCTCTCTGGCCATGAGCAGCAAGCCCATCACAGTTGAATGCACCACGGACTCAGCCATGGCTGCCCCTCCCATCCCCCACCTATTCCTCTGCCTAGCTAGCCTGCGCTGCAGCTCCTGAGGCAACTCCCCAAGCACTGGCATGGTTGCCCAACTGCTTCCCACCCCCACCTTGCTACCCCCAAGGCCCCCTCCTGCCCCCGTGGCCCCTTCTTGCACCCTCTCCTGATGGCTCCAACTGCAGCCAGCCTAGCTCACTTAGCTCTGGAAATGGGCAACCACACTAGCTCAGATGTTCTGAGCCCGCCCCTTTCCAGCTCCAGAGATTAATTAAGCTGAGGTGGTGTCCTAGGAGAGTTGGTGCAGCAAGGGAAAGTAAGGGCCTGGGGACCCAAGGAAGAATTCCAAATGGCTGGGTTAATCCCCCAGGGACTGAAATGGCACACCATGCAAGGGAATCACAGGCTACCAAGCAAAGGTCTATGGGGCACAAGGATACTTAAGGGAGGAGAGTCCAAGGTGCTGTAATGAGGATTTGAAGAAGAAACTTAGAGGAAAGGAAAGTGATCTGATGGCCAAAAAACTGCAAGCATGGAGGAACGTGGGCGTGGAAGATTACGTGTACTGGCAAGTCTCACCATCTTGTCATTGGAGTAGAAAGGCTCAGAGGGCCGGGCAGATATCACGTGGAAGGAGCCATGGGAAGGAGGGGGTTCTGTCCGTATGCTGAGCAAGGTTGGGGGCCCAGGAAAGCCCCCGAGGCGGCGGAGAGAGGTGCTACGTCTCAAAGTGGGTGGCTCAGGCCGAAGTGCCAAACGGCTCAGTGCAGCCCCTAGTTCTCCGGTACCTCGGTGCCCACCCAAGGCAATGCCCATGGGGCGCAAGTCCCCGCTGCTCACAGACTTGGAACGGGCAAGGTTGGTCCGGGATGGAAGAGGCAGAGCCACAGTTGGAGGTGGTGAGCCAGGCAGTGGGACTCCATGATCTGCCCGAAGGGGGCCTCTGGGTCGAGGGCCTGACGTCCGTCCCCGTCCAAGCTCCAGTTTCTTGAGCCGTTCTTCAGGGGGACCTGGCCGGGAGGGCAGAGGTCGTAACATGGGGTTTGGCCCAGGGGCTGGGGTTCGGCGTTCCTTACTGCGGGCTCGGGGGGCAAATGGCAGCTTGGATCCCACTCGGGGCTGGACATTAACAGGTGGCTCTCGGGTCCGGCCCAGTCGGTGCTCTGAGGCTTGTGGCATTGTGGATACCACAGGCTGGACCTGGGAGAAAAAGATAGTCAGATTTGATAGTTCCAGGTTGGTGGGAACCTAGGCTACCAGACTATTTTCTGTAAGTACTGAAGACAAGCCCATGTCTATTTTTTCATTTTCTCACTAGTACCAAGCATAGTGTTAGGCATAAAGTAAATGTTTAGTATCTATTTAGTTAATAAATGAATGAATGACAGCAGTCTGAGCTTTGCTTCCTTCTATATTCGTCATCCCTTTCCTCCTGCAAAATACTATTTTACTGAAAAGCCAAGACCAATATCTGTGGTCCTTGTAATTTATCCCCTGACAAGAGCCCCCACACTAGGCTAGTCTAGTGGGATGTGCCCTGGGCCACTAAGAATTTCTGGTTAAATGGGGTGTGGCTGCAAGGTAACAGCCCTAAAGCCAGCATTCTACCCTCAAAACCCTGTCCCCCTCCCCACCCCCATCCCACCCCATCCCCCCGTTGCAAATGAAGCCGATTAAATGGGTGACTCGCAAGTCACTCCCTCCCCCACTCCTGAGCTCCAGCTTAGTGTCGGGGCTCAGGGGCAGTGGCAGTAGGGAGAGGACGCACAGCTTCCTCCTGAACCCCCATGTCCGCACCTCTCCCACCACAGCAGGGCCTCAGCCGGGTCCGCCCCCCTCGAGGGCAGAAAGGCCGCGGCCGCTGATTGGCTGCAGGATCTAGCGGCGTATTCCCCGCGGTCCGTAGATGCTATCCCTCCAGCCAGTGCAGCCGGGCCCTGTGGGGACCTCTGCGACTCCACCTTTGTGGAGGGCGTCCTCTCAGGTCTGTAGCCGGCTTCCCTCGGCCCCCCCACCCCCACTCCACGCCACCCCACCCCACGCCATAACGCTCTGGCCTGTACCTGTCCCCCGGTGAGGCGGCGGGGGAGGCCAGCCGGGGCAAGGCCCCGCTCAGGGCCACCCCCTCCTACCCTCGTGCAACCTCCCTGCGGGCCTGGCTGCAGCTCCAGCCACAGCTATCGCCCAGTTCTCTCCAGCCGCAGGGGCCACCGCCATCTTTGTTGGTCCCGCCCGACCACCGGCCACCGGCTTCACCGTCTCCCACCGCGCTTGCGTACCCACGCTTGTCATCCGCCCACCTGCTTCCTCCGCGCCTGCGTGAGCCCGCCCCCTGAGCATCGCCGCCGACTCCATGGAAACCTAGCCAATTTCAGGGCTGCCGGTTCCTAGCCTGGCCCTGCGTGGTCTTGAAACCATCTCTTCAGAGCAAGTCCTGGAATATAGGGTCCTGTCGCGCGACTTGTAGCCCACAGGAACGTAGGTCTGACAATCATAATGTGGGCTCCAGGCTTTCGGCACAGATGTTTCCCAGAGGGGTAGCCACACAGACTAGCTCAGACCAGTGGAGAAACATTCTGCACTCCACAAAGGGATAGAAAGACTCCTGAGGGTGGGGGATGCTGGTGCAAAAAACCATTCCTCCAGCAAAGAACTAGGCTCACTACCAAATGAATAAACATATTTCAGTCCCACGGAGCCCAGTCAAAATTTCCTTTCGTATCCGACTCCTTACCAGAGTATCCTCCATTTCCTACTCCCTCCCAATGTAACATGGTTATATATGTGTCTTCGGTTTAGCCTGCTTACTAGCTGTCAATATCCATCAGTGAAACCCACAGGTCACCAGAAGATTTTATTGACAAGTTATCTCCAAAAACCAAAAGGAGAACATACCCACTTTCAGTAACCTTTATCCCTCTAGGATCTCATATTACTTCACCTGTCCGAAGAAGTAGAAATTGACTAGTCATTTTTCAAACCCGAAGGCTTTCCCTTCCTGCATAGATTTAGAAATTTTGTAGCAACACTAGTGTCATTTTTTAAAGTTTGCTATAGCTACTTAGTAACAATTATGGGTTAAGGGGGGAAGCAGATAAGTAAGAAGATCCATGCAGGAAATGTAGCCTATCAAATGTCCGGTTATCCTGCCTCTGTGGCTTGATCCTTCATTGGTTGCACTTCTCTTTATGCTGAATCACGCCCTTCTGAATCAGATCCGGGATTTCCACTGCCAGCCAAGGACCTAGCTGCAACAGAAGGAAGACCCTGTGAAATTACTAAATTCTAATGAAAGCCTCTAATCTCATCAGAAGTTCCTTACCAGAGAGAGAGATTCTAGGGGAACATGTCCAGGGGAAAACACAGTTAACCCTTGTTTACTTTCAGATAATTTTTTTACATCATCCAAGTCTTATCCCCTTCCCCCCTTATATATCAAGTATAATAAAACTTACCCCCAGAGCCATGAGATGAGCTAATCCAAACTTTGGCACATTCCTGGCCCACAGAGGCTTGAAGTGATCAGTCAGACATATTTTGCCACCCCTATGAGAGGGTACAGGAGAAAGAAGGTGTTGAGATCCCAAGTTTACCATAGAGCATTGGAAGTCTCTTAGGAATTCAAGAAAACTACTAGTGATCAGAACTGAGGACAGCTAAGTACTTGTCAAAGGGCAGCCTGGAGCCCCTCTAGGCCAGCAAGTTCTGGAAATATTGGTTGCTTCCCAGATTCTTACCATCTCTCACTCAGTCCTACCTGTACATCTTTGCTGTTTTTCCATCCAGTTCAGGGACTGCAACTTCTGGAGCAGTAGTAGGATATGTGATAGGAATCTGCAGGAATTAGAAAGCCTTCATAAAGTTTTCATTCCTTCAGAACTAAAAGGAACTAAGCAGGCATACATTTTTCTTGATTGAACTGATACGCTTGACAAAACTCCCCAATCAATATATATCCACTAGGATTCTGGACATGGAAATGAGTTAACTATAACCTATGCTTGCTTCAAACCTCAGCTTTCCCTCCCATTTTTCCTTTTTCCTTAACCTTCCATTTTGAAAGTTTTTTCTCCTCCCTCTAAGAAAAGTTAGCTGCCAACAATCACCTAGTCACTCCCCTTCTACTAAACATACTTCAACATACTCACATCAAACTCGATGTCAAACTCGTATTTGAGGAGGTCATGGATATACCAGCATTTTCCAAACCACCTGTAATAAAGACCAAACCTCAATCCAATTTGTCTATTCTTCTCATACTAAAATGACATCCTTTTGGCTTAGGTGACCAGCCTGGGAGATGCATGGCATGGAAACGGGAATTTTGGAATTGTAGGAGTGGAGAAAGCTAATATGAAGCAGGGTAGGCCTGGTGTTAGAACACCAAAATGCTCAAGCCACGTAAGATTCCCACCCCATACCTCCCGAGAAGGTCTGCCTACCGAGTCCCCTCCTTGTTGGACTCCAGTCGGAACCAATCATTGTCAGCATTCTTGTTGTTCTCCACATACTAAAAGCAGAGAAGGAAGTCTTTGAGGGAGGAGTTGAAACCAAGAGCAATTCCCATGCCCTCAAAAAAAAAAAGTATGTGAATGAAGTATGTGGTTACTTTCTCTCTTAGCATGTCTGTCCAACTATTTTGATAAAATTTCATGGTAAGTGGGGGGCTTGCCCAGATCAGAGAATACTTGGCTTCCACTCAGTTTTGCAGGAACAAAAAATTTGATGTTCCCTTTTCACATCTGGTAGTCTGCCCATGGGCTACAAGTCATTCAAGGTACATTCCCTCCCTAGAGGACCTCATATTGGCTTGGTTTTGAATAGCACATTACCAAGTTCAAATCTTTAGTTTTAATCCAGACCTTTTCTTAAAACATCAGGCTCCCATGTCTGTGTATTGAAATTTCTATCTTGACTTCAAAGGTACCTCAAACTCAACATTAACCTGTGGTCCTTCAGATCCTCATTGGAGAAGATCATCAGGGGGCAATCACCCAAGTCACTTAGTCACCCAAGTCACCCCTGACCCTGCCTTTCCTTTACTTTATTCTACCAGTCTTTCATGAAGTCCTTTTGGTTTTACTTTATGCATATTCTTCAAGTCTACTTCTTTTTAGCTTCACTATAATTAGCCAGTTTGGATTATCATCTTCTCCTTGAATTAATGACAGTCTCCTAACGTGCTTCCTTGTTTCAGTATCATCCCTGTCAATTCTATTTTCCTTTCTACTGCTACTGCAATTGATTCAACCCAAATATGACCATGTTAGTGCTCAGCTAAATCCTTTAAATGTGAGGCCTCAAAGGGTTAAGTCTCAGCACTATGAAATATCAGCAGCCACTGCAGCTAACCCACATGGCACAACAGACCTCTCCTGTTTCACCCACTGCTCCCCTCAGCAGGGGATTTCAGTACATCTGCCAATTCTGCTCCCCACTCTGTCTCTGGTGAGTCCTCTCACCCCACCCCCCAACCCCTTTGGCCTATATTCCAGTTCTTGTATGCATAAATAAACAAAGCTTTAATATAAATAAATAAATCCTTTAAAGATATCCATTAGGGCCTCCCAGGTGGTGCAGGAGTTGTCTCAGTATTATCAAGCTATCGCCAGCCACTTGGGCATGAGTAGACATTTCCTATCTCTCCTGCTGCGCTCTCTTCAATGGTGTATTTCAGTAGATCTTGTTCTGCTCCCTACTCTGTCACTGGTGAATCCTCTCACCAACCCTCCCACCCACACCTCTGGTCTACACCCAGTTCTTGTATGCATAAATAAATAAAAATAAATCTTAAAATAAAAGTCCTCTTGCCCTCAAATTTGCCAAGCTCGCTTACATTTACCCTTAGCTCCCTAACTGGATTAGGGATCTCACCTCTGTCTCAATACATGGTAGCAGTTTCACTTTATCTCACTCAGCTTAAAAACACTATTATCTGGGCCCTCCCTGGTGGTGCAATGGGTTAAAGCACAGCACTATGAAGCTATTGCAGCCACTGCAGCACGAGTTTGATCCTTGGCCAGGGAGGTGACCCCATGGCACAGCAGACCTCTCCTGATCCACCAGGTGCTCCCCTCAGCAGTGTACTTCCTCAGTCTGCCTGTTGTGTCCACCACCACCACCACCTCTGGCTTGGACCCCAGTTCGGTAAGCATAAATAAATGAAATAAAACTAAAAAAAAAACAAACCAAAAAAAAAACCCACAACACTGTTAAACTGTTATCATAATCTGTTTCTGTCTACTACTGCGAGTTCTGCTTTCTTCAGCTTTAGACCCCCTTCCTAGGTGTTTAATAAATGTGTTTTTAGTGAATGAAAAAGTGCAGCAGGAGAGCTGATGGCCCGTGAAACAGATAGCACTCAGGGGAGACAAACTTCCTTTTCTTTCCACAGAAGGGAAATTAACTGAGAAGATGGTTCTATCATGTGAGCTCAGCTCCTTCATTCTCTATACCTAACATCTACTTAAGTTTTCAGCCCTATTATGTTCTCCTCCCTCGGGAAGAGTGAAGGAGATAGAGAGAGATGCGGACTTTACTTCGCGATCCCAGGAATTCCGTCTGAACACCTTACTCACATCCAGGAGAACCAACATCTGGAGTCAGAGAGACACGTCGCCTTTCGGGGAGGCGTATCCCTAACATAACTGATACTTTCCAGCCAGAACGTATCGCTGAACTGTGATTCCTAACCTGAATCTATTCTGCCACCTTCTTACCATCCAAAAGTCTCCTAGCCCCGAAATCGCACAATTTCCAAGAATTTGAGGGGCGGGGGTGGGTTTCCAACTTTAAAACGGAAGCGACTTCCACACGGAGCATATTCCTAAGGACACCTGACCACCCGCAACCCCTTTGCTAGGCGATCTGCCGCAGATGCACAACTGACCCGAATAAGAGACTGGTACTCCTCCTTGAGTCGCTGCACCCACAACTCGCGATCTCGAGGTCCGGCGTTGGTCTTCAGGACCGGGATTTCAGACACAACACGCCGGGTGGCTTCGTCAGCCATCTTGGACCAGGGCGTAAGAGAAAGGCGGAAGTGGTATTGCCTGTAATTTACAGTCAGGGCGCTGCCATCTTTACTTTGGGAAGATGGGGAGTTGGGCTGCCCAAGGACTTCTCCCTGCACTTCTAATATTCTTGTAACGGAGACAAGTTCGTTACTTGGTTACCTGCTTGTGGTTGCCACGGAGAGAACAGGATCGATCCGGACTGCTCCGTCCTGAATATGGCATCTATCATTAAAAAGGATTCCGCAGATCGCTCTTAGGGTAACTTCCGCTCTTGCTCAGAGAAGTAATCTCGGAAAACCTTTCCGGACACGTTCCCAATCTTGGAGAGTTCGAATGTCACCGGGTACTAGGTGCAGTTCCAGCAGTGGTCTCCTAAAACGCGCGATTCACATGTTTCCCCTCGTAATAATCTTTCTTAGCTTCCATGCTAAGAGGTCCCAGAGATTTTGAGAGTTTGATGTGTATTTGTCTTTCCTTAGCATGCTATGTATTTAAAAGTTGGATACAGTAAAAGCATAGTTTTGTAATACCTCACTAGAGACTTCTTCCCCAGTAGGAATAAAGATGTTCTTTCTTGGGTATAGGCATTGTGAGCTACAGACAGCAGATATTTAGAGTGAAGCTTTACTATTTGTCATAAGACTTTGGAGATGCGAGGTCAAATGGGGAAATGTAGGTCAAAGTGTACAAACTTTCAGTAATAAGAATAATAAATCGTAAGGCTCTAGTTACCTGTATGGCAACTACAGTTAATAATACGGTCTGTATACTTGACCGTTACTGAGTAGAACTTGAACAGTCTAGTCACATACACGCAAAGAGAATAAACTATATGAGGTGCTGGATATATAAATTATCTTTTTAAAAAATATATAACTACAGGCATCTTTATTTTATTTTAAAGATTTATTTATTTATGCATACAAGAACTGGGGTGTAGGTCAGAGGTGTGTGTGTGGGGGGAGAGGATTTACCAGAGACAGAATAGGGAGCAGAACAGGTAGATTGATGAAGTACACTGCTGAGTAGAGCAGAGGTGTAGGGAGGGGGGCGGTCAGGAGAGGTCTGCTGTGCCATGTGGGTCACTTCTGGGGCTGGGGATAGAACTTGCACTATAGCGACTGTGTCTACAGTGCTGTGCCTCAACCCATTGGGCTACCAGGGACAGCCTGGATGTATAAATTATCTTAATCTTAATAACCATGCACATGTATATCGAATCACTTTAAATATGTACAATGATATGGCATTTATTTCTCAAGGTTGGGTGGAGGGTAGAAAAGACTTTGGAGAGTTACTGAAATTCCAAAAACTATTTTCTCACCTATAAAGTAGAACAATAATGTTCAGTGTCTCTTCAATCATATAATAGGCTTTTAGGGTGAAACTCAGATTAAATGAATGGCAGTAGTTTTCAAACTTCTGTGGTAATAGAGTCAGGTTTACAAACAAAATTCGACTTGGAATTAAAAAAAAAGTCATTACAGAGCTGTTCTCATCCAAGTGCGGGCAGAAGAAGACCAAGTCCTGGAATACTTCCCCTAGGGCAACACATATCACACTTTATTAGTTGCTAAATTGTCTTGATGGACTAAAAGCTCAAGGAGGGGACTATAAGTCTATCTTGTTCATTGCTAAAATCTAATACTGTAATGCTTGGCACAAAATAAGTGCTCAATCAATATTTTTTTTTAAGATTTATTTATTTATTCATACAGAACTGGGGTACAGACCAGAGATGCGGAGGGTGAGAGGATTCACCAGAGACAGAGTGGGGAGCAGAACAGGCAGATCTACGAGGTACACTGCTGAGGGGAGCAGCGGGCGGGTCAGGAGAGGTCTGCCATGCCATGTGGATCTCCTCCGGGGCAGGCAGGCGGGGATCGAACTCATGCGGAAGTGGCTTAAGCTTCTCAGTGCTGTGCTTTAACCCGCTGCGCCACCAGGGAGGGCCCTCAATCAATATTTTTAAAGTAAATTAAAACCTTGCTGTGAAAGTTAGGCATCCAAAAAGCTGTCTTTTAAGATCTGCATCTTATTTTGTTTCATCGTTTTAGAAAATCATCTTATTAGATCATTTAGTAAAGTATAGCTCATTATATGTATGATGATACAAAATACTTACATCTCTGTGAAGTATGTTTCTTACAGAGAAGTATTTTTTTTTTATTTAGCTCATACTTATTTTAAGTAATTCTCCCAAGAAGTAAAAATCAAGATTAAGAATACTGAAGGACAGCCCTCTCTGGTGGCACAACGGGTTAAAGCACTAAGAAGCTAAAGCCACTTCACCCTGAGTTCCATCCCTGCTCCTGACCCGCCCACTGCTCCCCTCAGCAGTGTACTTGTCAGTCGGCCTGTTCTGCTCCCCACTCTGTCTCTGGTGAATCTTCTCAACACCCCTGTACCTCTGACTTGTACCCTAGTTCTGTATGCATAAATAAATCAATCTTAAAAAAAAGAATACTGAAGGGCAGTTTGTAGGACTGAGTTTCATTTTCCCATGAAAGAGCTCCTTCTTGAACAAATGTTTATGGAGTTCCTACTATATGCAGACATTGGACATACCGTAATGAGCAAGGCAGACAACTCCTCTATAAAGAGGAGTTGGACAGGATTGATTGGATGTCAGTTCTAGGAAATACACTAGTTTCAGACCATTGTATTGGTGGGTTGTACAATTATGTGCATAGGAGAGCCCCTGAAAGTAGTTGAAAGTCCCATTATCAGTCATCATAGGAAAGGAGAAGTAAACCTTGGATTAGGGAAGGTTTTGAAATTTTCCCTTGTATTCTTGAAGTGTTGGTATGAATCCAGTATGCTGGAAAATGCCTCAGTAAGGTGAGAGAAATGCCAGCTCTACTATAGGGAGGGAAATGCCCATAGCCAGTTTTGGGAAATATTTTTTTTTAAGATTTATTTATTTATTCGTACAGAACTGGGGTACAGGCCAGAGATACGGAAGGTGAGAGGATTCACCAGAGACAGAGTGGGGAGCAGAACAGGCAGATCAACGAAGTACACTGCTGAGGGGAGCAGTGGGCAGGTCAGGAGAGGTCCGCCACGCCATGTGGTGACCTCCGGGGCAGGCGGGAATCGAACTCATGCGGAAGGGCTTTGGCTTCTTTGTGCTGTGCTTTAACCTGCTGCGCAACCATGGAGGGCCAAGTTTTGGGAAATATTTAATTTTAATCTAGAGGCTTCATCAGAGTTATGATAAATTATAACTTCATCTGTTTTGCTGTGGGGAATTGGGCCTATATGAGAACTTAGTAAAGAGAATAACAAACATTTATACACTGCTTATTATGTGCCAGCAAGTCAAAGGACTTTTTAAAAAATAATATATAATAGTTTATTTTTACATCATTTTGTGCCTTTGTCCATCTCAGTTGTAATCCCCATGAGTTTCCCATCACCAAATTACCTGTGTGCCGTCACCATAGTCCAGTGCACTTCCCCCCACTCCCATTTTTGATCCCCATTCCCCACTCCACCCTCTGGTATATAGTTGTTCATTATTATTATTATTTTCTCCCTTGGTCCTTTATATACGCCTGCTATGAGTGAAACCATCTGGTATTTTTTCTCAAAAGACATTTTAAATGTTAACCCCTTTAATTCAGGTAGTTACTATGATTATACTCACTTGCATGTGAAGAAATCAAGGCATAGTCTAGTTCAATGAGGCACAGTGTGGCTCAATGAAAGAAGGCTCTATATCACATAGCCCAGTAAATGGTAGCACTGGAGTTGATTCAGTCACATCCTAAGCCAAATGATGTGACTTTCTGCCATATTCAGAATAGTGTGAAATTAGCAGTAGAGCTCAGAGGGGCTAGATTTTGGTGTCAGGGCCCTGCTGATGGCCCTGAAATGGGCAGCTATCAATATTGAAACTGTGTTTCTGAAAGTCAAATCAGAAGTAAGTGAAATGGAAGTTAGGAAAACAGTCCAAAAAATCAATGAAACCGTGTTTCTGAAAACACAGAGACTGGCAGTTTTGACCCAACAAGTAGAGCTGTAAGAACACACACAAGCCAGTCAGCCCCCTGCCTTGAATGTCTGAAGTATCCACAGAACACTCTTGGTGATTGGTATTGTTACAGGGTACCCCAATGTGAACTGGGTTGCCTGTCTGTGGGTGCGCTTACGATTCAATCGTATTATGGACACACTCAAAAAAGTTAAATAATGGATTTATTTATAAGGAGAAAGGTAAAGGAATAACTCAGGGAAAGAGGGAGAGAAACACAGGTTAACTAGGATGTCCTACCAGTTCTGCTGACTTGGACTCCAGTTCTGCCGGTGTACTCCACCGGCACGCTGAAAACCGATTGAGCGCCAAAACGATCAGCTGCGAACCACCAGGTCTTCCCCCCAGAACCCACATATCCGGTTTTATCCCAACCTGGCTGCTCAGCTCCGCCCTTACGTCCCGGCGTGCTCTCCTTGGTACTGATGGGATTTGGAGTTCCAGCATCTGGAGTGGGGGCGGAGCCCATGAAACCTGTACCTGTTACCGTACCCATTGGGACTTTGAACCTTGAACTTGGGAGTTTGTTACTATGAATTCACCTCTACCTTTTAGTTAGTAAAGTCTGGGCAAAGGTTGGGAGTACCAGAGTATTTGGTTAATAAAGATGAAAAACCATAGTCTTTGAGAGAAAGAAACTATTGTGCAGATAATTACCATAAAAAGAGAGGTATGAGTCAATGTTCTATGATAATCAGGTAAAGTTGAGAGCATTTGTACATGAAGTCTTTGGATAAGTACACTGAACAATCATGTAAGGAAAGAGCAGGGAAAGAATGGCATTCTAGGCAAACAGAAGAGCATATGTATGACAAGAAAGCATGAGGGAATACAGTATTTTAGTAATAATCACAAATACTCAGATATTATAACAGAAGGGGGGAAACTCCTAGAAACCATCAGTGTTTCATTAATTCTATGCAATATGCTATATGGAAATATCTATAATATAAAGTCACAACACAAAATTTTGTATACATATGGTTTTAAAAATATTTATTTTTGAATAAATGTCTGAACCTGCTCAAAATTCAAAAGGTACTGCAGTTCAGTGCCCTTCCCCAGGAATACTTTCTCTCCAGCTAGTGTTTTTGTTTTTTTTTTTTAAGATTTATTTATGCATACAGAAAACGGGGTACAAGCCACAGGTGCATGTGAGAGGGTGAGAGGATTCACCAGAGACAGAGTGAAGAGGAGAACAAGCAGATGTTATGAAGTACACTGC